ATAATAATCCATTTTACACTGTTATTTGTACATCTTAAAAAACTCATAACTCGCTTTAAAATTAAAATATAACAAACAGTATATGAGAAGCCTTGGATAATAATCTTACTTTCAATTTTTAAGAGGAAATTTCACTCTAATCTTAGAAATTACAGATTAAAATTAAATGTATTGTTTTAAACATAAAATTGTCCATGTTGTAGGTAAGACAGATACAACATATGCGGGTGTGGCGTCTTCTTAATTTCAAATATACTCTGTTCCAGTGTTCCCCGTAAGTCGACCAACATTTTTGATTTTTGCACAAGCGGAGTATGGTAAAAACGTTGTGACAATACAGTTCTCTGTAGTTCTTCAGTTTCACGTCATGAAACCCCACAGTGTATATGTAGTGAACGGTATTGTCACAACGGTTTACAGCATACCCTCTGCTTGAGCAAAAAAGTGGGTCAACTTACTGGGAACAGAATATACCATGAATATTTTATTTTAATATCTAGAGTTTAGATAAAAAAGCTTACAATGTAAAACTTTGTTGATGGGAATACTTCATTTTCTTATGCCGTTAACCTAACTATAAATAATAGTTCTTGAATATTGTAAAATATAAATACTAACAATAATATATTGAGTACATTTGAATAAAAAATATAATTGTTATTATTTATTTTTATTTTTAAGGGGACTTGAAGCATTGGTAGTTGACTATTTACGTGTACCAGTTGTAGGACAGCTGGCTAACAAAGCTGGACATGCAGGTATTACTCTTCTTGCGATTGTCACCTTGGCTGGATTTTTGCAAGTTATTTTTGTTGGTGATGGACTTGGCAATGCCATTGTTACACTTTGGAAAATGTAATGTTACTTAATGTGTTTTTATTGTAGTGGTGTAACATGTAAATATTAAATATTCTGTTGAATAAAATGATAATTTTATATACTTATTTGTAGTATGGAGATTAAAATCAATTTCATTTATAGTTATAAGCAATAAATAATTACTTACAATAACATTTTTGTACACATTTTATCCTACTAATAACTAAAATTATAATCTACAAGTGACAAATTGTCATTGTAGTTTCAGATCGCAGAAAAATAATTCTTTTATACAATGTGTCCTTTCAAAAAGTGACCGGCTGGCGTTATATGTTAGTATAACGAAAGTTATGAAAAAAAAACCCTTTAAGGTGGTCTAACTATTAATTTTTTTTAGTTTTAGGCAATTTAACCTTATTTTAAATAAAACCAAACCTACTGTACATTTGCTGAAGTATCTTCAAAACTTATTATCGTTATTTTTTTACCCTAAAGCTATTTTACTAAAGACATGTTTTAAAAACGCTTCTATATTTCTCATCAAACACCTACCCAAAATAGCAAAGCATAAAAATACAAAATACAATTTAGGATGGTATGCCATTTTTTTTCTTGTCACCAAGATCAACATTTCAACAACTGTTATGAAGCACTAACATTGGTTATTTTAGGCTTTAGGCAATAAATAAGGCTTTTCTAGTTTTCCCATATTACTATGCTCCAAGGAACTTTCATTTTATATTCATGAGAAATCTCGTTTTAAATTTCCAATCTTACCTAATAATCGTTAAGGATCAAATGTGTACCGGTTATTAGGTATTTTTTCATTTCTCAATATATTGAAAAACTCAAAATATATAGATCTATTAAAAATTTGAAATATACAAATAGTATGTATTATAATAATTAAGAAATATAAAATGTATCAAAACAGGATACTGAAAAAGTTCAACAAAACAAAGTATACTGCCGGAAGCTGATGCCATTATTAATTAAGAAAATTAATCAATAAAGGTATGCTAATATTGTAATATCGTAAAATATATCCATTTTTTTTTCAACTCATAGTACGTATCACGCATGAAATCAAAAAACTGTTGGACCAGAAGTTTTAAGTTTTAAGAAACTTGTACCTAAACCTAATATAATATAATATATAGGGGTCACCAATTAATATTTTTGAAGGTCCACACATCAGGAAGCTGGAAATTGTTGGCGCCATCAAAATTTCAGACGTCAGGAAAAACCAATGAACAAAAATGATCAATTACAACAATAAAACCTCCTTTTCGATTTTTTTTCAATTATTGTCGTTAAATAATTTTTTTTTGCTGAATCAAAAAAACTTGAAAATTTACCCATAGGCCATAAGTAATTTTATATTAGAAGTTCAAAAGTTATGAACATATAAAGATTAAAGACACACATTTTTTTATAAGCATTTTAAATTCAAATTTTGGCAAAATCTATCATAATAGCAAACATTATCAAATTATTTTGTATTTAAAAATGTATATTATAATGTTCAATTTTTATAGCTAAGAACTAAAAGTTCAAAACAAGGTTAAAATATTTATAAATATAAGTTATACGACTATCTCCCAATATATGGTCTACCAAAATGGAAGTGGTCGGTAGATAATAATACCGATACCAAATAATATTGAACAAAATTGAAACAAATTTAATTTGTTAAGAAATTCATTTATAAATCTTATTCCAATAAAAAAAAAAAACAGATAATTATAATTATAAATTGGATATTGAAGAATGAGCTAGTTATTTTTCCTTGACGTATTATATTGACACAAATATAATAATAATTTTTCCTTGTTTAATTTATATAACTAAAAGGTTCTACATATATAAGAATATTATATTATAACAGTTTATTTAACTAACAAGCCCAATATTATTTTCCAATATTTTTAAAATATCATATATATTTTATATTATTTTCTAATATTTTTAAAATATATATATTTTATATTATTTTCTAACATTTTTAAAATATATATATTTTATATTAATATTTAATATTTTGAAAAGCCTTGATATTCTTATAAACTAAGTCGTTACATTAGTTATATTCTAATTGATGATAGTAACCTACAAACATATTAACATATTTCCCAATTTACTACAAACAAGGCTTAGTATAACCTTTAACTGCTTTTAGTGATTTCAAATATTTATGAAAGTTACCTCACTAACTCACGTACATGGTAAGTGGTATATAAAAGAGGGGGTTATTTTGGGTGTTTGAAACCCCACAGGTTATTATTGATATAGAAATCTGTCAAAGCCCAAAGTAACGGTTAAATTAATAAGTGTGTCCCCTGAAATCAGATGTATTTTAGGCCCTGACAAAATGTATTCATTAATTTTTCCAATGTTTTGTATGTATTATTATTTTTTTCCTGTTTTTTTTATTATGTTTGTGTTTTTATAAAAAAATGTATACACATTTATATTATATTAGCACTATTATTATTGGCGTATTATAAAACCGGACTCGGCAAAGAAGAAGAATAATATGAGTTGTAATATTTACTACGATTACCGGATAACCACAGGTGGTCTTATAGGATTTGTATTTTGAAAGGAATTTAGTCTCGTATACATTTTAAACATAATATAACGATCCCATTGGCTTCAATAAATTATTGAACTAAAAGCTGATTTTGATTAAATCTGGCTTATCAAATCTATCCTAAGTGACACTATAATTGTATAATTAATTTTAATTAATGCAATCTCAGATCTTAGCACCCGAATTATTTATTCGGTTACTGGGTGTATTCGGATTTCGAGTGTTCAATCACCGGAAAAAAAGTTTAAACAAACACTCAGGTTTTCAAAACCTCTATTATTCGAGTTAATATTGGACAATGGTTAATACGGGTGTTGAGTAGTCTGGAAAAACATAGCTTTTGATGGGGAGGCGTTAAAAATCCCGACAATGATAATCCCGAAAATATTTTTTATCCTTATAATTTTTTAAGATTTTTTACTTTTTTGAATGACAGCATAGAGTTTTAATTTCATATTCCAAAGCAGAATATTTTTCTAAGTATTTTGATACATAAAAATCGAACTTAGGACGAGTAGTTTGTGAGTTATAAGTATTTTAAGTTTTGATGGGCGGAGTAGTGGATAAACATTTTGCGGGGTAACCCCATACCACTCCACTCCGCCCATCTAAACTTAAAATACTTATAACTCATAAACTACTCGTCCTAAGTTCGATTTTTATGTATCAAAATACTTAGAAAAATATTCTGCTTTGGAATATGAAATCAAAACTCTATGCTGTCATTCAAAAAAGTAAAAAACTTAAAAAATTATAAGGATATAAAATATTTAAAACTATAGTTTTTTAATGAAAACGTTGTTTTTTTAACAACTTGAAACTATGTAAAAAAATATTTTCGAAAAAATTAATACTTTTTGAGATAATGAGTGTTTTACGCTTAATGAATCTTCTTGTATAATGTACATGATAATATTATTATGTAAATATGTTTGGTCGGGATTTTAAACTGTCGGTATTATGATTTGTCGGGATTTTAAACAGTCGGTATTGTGATTTGTCGGGATTATAATTGTGTCGAGTTTCGACCCATTTGATGTATCCTCCCTCCCTATTATTAATAATAATTAATAACAGCAGCAAAAATTCAAAAATGCGTGGAGGCACTGAATTCTATACGTATAGTGGATCAGTGGTGATATTTCATAATTCATAATATGTTGGTTCTTCTTTGGTTGTGGTATGGTACCATATAATCACTACCGTGGTTTTAGATTGACTATCAGCTGTTTTGAGTCTTGATTAATTCCGTCTATCAATATTTTCATATCTTCAATCTTGATTCTTGTTCTTGTGACTTGTATTCTTGTTATTTATTAAATATTCCTTTTTGTGCTCGTTTAACTCGTTTATGTTGTTTCTTTATCTTTCGAGCACATTTTTTATGTCATACTATTTATAATATTTACACTGGTAAATTTAAGTTATTTAGACGGCACAACACTATACAGAGTACTACATTTAAAATGACATAGGTGTATTTTGGGTTTGAATTACTAGTATTCCACCAACGGAGGAATATATGTGCATATTTTAAAGAATATACCAAATTTTGAATTGAAATTTTAATTCTTACCATTCAACTATCATGGAGGTAAACAAAGATGAAGCTTATCGCTGTTTAGATCGGGCCGAGTATTATATCATCGAAGGCGATGTTGAAAAAGCAGAGAAGTTCATAAATAAGAGCAAAAAACTTTTCCCAACTTCTGAAGCGGATGGCAAGTACTTCAATTCTTTTCAAATTTTAAATTATTTATAAATTTATTTCTGTGCAGAACTATTAAAAAAATTAAAAACCCAAGGTTCGAAAAAACATTCAACATCAAATGTAAAACCTGATGGACAAAATGCTAAGAAACGTAAAAATACGCCTCCAGGTATTTAATTCCCAAATAATTTCTTTTTGTTCATCAAATAACATTTATTATACTCATAGGTAGCCCTAGAGCAGAAAGAGCTAATCAGCCAACATATACGAAAGCACAGTTGGACACAGTCAAAAAGTAATTAAGTATTACCTATATTATCTAATTAAATATGCATAACTATTAACTACAAGGATTACATAATAATAATTAATTACAGTAAAAATAAATTATTTTACCTATATTCAATGATTTAAATCATTCCTTAACAGGTTAAGCACCACATTGACCCTAATACTTGTCAAAATGATTCTGTAGGTGATTCTCAGATTCAGTATGTTTTCTTAAAAATTAACCTTGTCCTACAGGCCACACTTTTTTTAATTTTCTTAACATAATATGATGTAATATGATGGTTTCATTGACCTAAGGGGTAACAACAACAAGTACTACATTTAGGGCTTGAAAACCATAGGTACGTGACACCATATTATAAGGAAAAGAAGTATCCACAACATGTTCCTTGTTTTCGTCCTAGTTTCACGCATCTGAATTGCCTTTTTTTTTTTTATCTTAAGCCCTTCATCTAAGACCATTAGCTGTATTGTTTTATACGTTTTAATGTCGGTAGGGGGGGGGGGGACATGTGTGTGTTGGGTTTGGCGTAATTTTTGATTGGGCACCCGTAGATATCTGCCATGCCCAGATGGGGGGATGGCGGCACTTGTTCTCCAGACACCGTGACTTGCACGAAAAAAAAAAAATGCCGCCCGTGTCTTAGACATCTCGGCCACTCCGTCCCCCAATTGCCTTTTGTTTTTGTGCATACTGTATTGTATAAGAAAGATGAGATATGTATATATATCTCATCATCTAGAGTTTATTTTTGGTGGCATATGTAAATTTTATATTGCCCCCCTTAAAAAATATGCGCACTCTTATCAATAAGCATACTTCTTATTCCTTATACTATGGGTAGAGCTATTGAAAAGTCACACTGTATTGTCAATAAACCCTACATGGCGTTATAATCAAAATTAAATTATTTGTACTGACGCTTAACTTTTTAAATAATTTTATCATATTTGTATACTACTATAGAGTTAACAACTGCAAAGATTTCTATGATGTGCTTAGCATAAAAAAAGATGCTACTGATACTGAAATAAAAAAAGCATATAAAAAATTAGCCCTAGTATTGCATCCAGATAAAAATCATGCACCTGGAGCAGCAGAAGCATTTAAAAGTGTGTAATTATATTTTGATATGATTTCACCAATAAAACAATTCATTTGTTTTTTTATGTTTTATAATTAGCTGTTGGTAATGCAGTCGCCACTTTGACTGATGCAGAAAAACGAAAACGTTATGACATGGTTGGCCATGAGAATTCTACATCCGATCATGTACACAGAAATTATGATCATGGTTTTGAATGTAACTACATAATTAAAACTATTTAAAACACTATTGAGGCGGCATAATATGTATTAAATAAATATTTTGCTTGCAGCGGATATTACAGCTGAACAGTTATTTAACATGTTCTTTAATGGAGCTTTTCCAACAAGACAAGGGCCAATGACACACCCATACTATTCTCGATCATTTTCAAGACGTTGGCCACCAGAGACTGATAATGATAATCATCAACAACAGGTAATAGTTTTTTTTTTTTAAATTAGAAGTTTATGTTTATTTTTATACCAAATATATTTTTAATTCAACCCAATTTACAAATAATTTCCTATCTACCAACTAACTAGTAAGTAAGGTACTACTGGCCCTCGCTTTCCGTAAACTATCCTGTTATATTTTATTTCCATCAAACAAACTATTGAGGCTCAACACAAAAAGGGAAAAAATAAAAGAATATATTTAAAAAAAAATTTTTTTATACAAATATAATTCCTAAAGTGGGATTACTGACTCATGTTATTAGGTATTTTGTTTATTTAACTCTTAAAATAAAAATTAAAAATTGAACATTATGACAATTGTTTATGATGATTTTATTAATTGTATCGAAAAGTCAGAGTAATCAAAGTAGATTTATATATGATCACCAATAATAACACTATTTATTAATGAATACATGATATTAATTCTTCTACACACAAGTGTCTTGAAAACGGGCGTTTTCAATGCAGGTAATCTATTGATAAAAAACATGATGTTATAATAATATCAAGAGACAAAGGAGATAAGGTTGAGTTTATTTTTAAAACCAGAGACATATGTTATATGTAGTGAAATCCATTATAATTTAACATAGTAACATATAAATTATTTTATTTTTTTGTTTTAGTCTGATGAACCATCAATATTATTACAAATTTTCTTCTATATTGGAACCATAATTTTTAATTATATTTTAAGAAAAATAGCTTAATGTATTCACAAGTGTTCAGACTTGAAATCAAGAATGTATAGAGAACAATCAATCATTTATCAGAAGTTATATATCTTAAAATATCAAGATTTCACTATTTTAATTTAGAATAAAGTTAAATAAACGTTAAGTTTTCAATGTTGTTTTCAATATTTCATGTCACATTATAATGCATAAATCTTATAAGTGGGGGGACGAGGTGGCCGAGCGGTCTAACGCGTCGGCCGCGGCGCTGGCAGTCGCGGGTTCGATTCTCGACCACCGGGCGGCATTTTTTTCCGGGCAAGTCACGGTGTCCGGAAAACAAGTGCCGCCATCCCCCCACTCCGGGGCATGGCAGAAACCTACGGGTGCCCCAATAAAAATTCTGCCACCACAAACACACGTATTTACAAACCAACAGTTCCCTCCCCTACAAACTAAACAAACAAACAAACAAACAAAAACAGCTAATGGCCATAGTTGCCGGGCTTAATGATCAATAAAAAAAAAAAAAAAAAAAAAATCTTATAAGTGTTGTTTGACAAAATATATATTATAAATATTTAACTGTCTGTCGTTTTTAGAATTGTGTACATTAATATATTACAGATAAAATATTTTCTATTCAAATACTAAATTAAAAAATATGGTATCCATTTGAAAAATCTGTAGATAATTGTTTTGTTTTTATTTATATACAAAAAAAAAAATAACTAACTTAATTAAAAACTATTTCTAAAATAGAAAAATTACATATTCATATACAAAACCTAATAGAAATTTAATATATTTTTTAAATTTAATTCCTGGTTCTTTATAAATAAGTGAGTCTATGTATAAATATATTATAATATTTATATCTAAAATGTATTCAATACGGCAATTTCAATTTTTTATTTATAACAATTCATGGTTTCAAAACATATTACATAATGGTGTTAGATTTTTGTTTAATGTGTTATTATAATTTAAATATTCATAACGTTTGTGTATTCCTATAAAAGGTAAAACATTATATTATAAAGTTATCCAAAAAATTATTTGTTCCATTATTTTAATGTACATGACGATATGCTTCTTTTATTTAGATAGATAGATTTGTTCGTTCAACTATTTTTAAATATCAAAATCTTATCTATTTTATGAAATGCATTTTTAGTTCAGCACTCATATTCATAAAGAAAGAGCAATATTTATTAGTAATAAGCACGGACTAAGATATAATGGACTGGAAACGACAAGGTGGGCGGGTGACGAGGGACGGCCCGCAAAAGGTTCCTCTGTTATCATCAACACTCATAATCGAAAGTTTTCAGCGCTACCAGTGGTTTTATTTAGCGTCATATTTTGTATCTCAGTCCATGTTTTATACAGATGGCGCTGTAAACTCTGGATTATGATTTATGGTTGCGACCCCCCGCATTTGCTTCTTTTACATACTTTCGAGGCCACTGATAAGCTGCTCGTTTCCAGTCCATTATATCTTAGTCCGTGGTAATAAGTAGGGTCCAGATTTTTAGGTTTTTACATATCATTATTATTACTAATCATATGCAGTTATATAAGTGTAAAAAATGTGTACAATTCAACACAGAATTTACAAGAAAAAGTTTATTTTGAATATTTTGTTAATTTTGAGAAAAAAATACTAATATATTTTAGTTTTCAATTGTTATTGTAATTTTAAATTTAAGAGTTACCTTTGCATTTTTCCTTTTATATTGCAGTTAATTTGTGTTCTATTTTTATAATTATTATATGAGTTTTTAACCTTAATATCTGGACCCCATAATAATAACCAATAAGTCACAACAAATATGTCAATCATCTATTTTATACATGGTAACGTTCAATATTTTACAATACATTTAGACTTGAAATTTCAATTAAAGTTATAAAGAAATGTATAAAATTGACACTTTGACAATAACAAGAACCGCTGTTATCTGCACTTATAGTAATTTCTAATCTACACTATCCTATTTAATTTATTATAACTGCATACTTACACTATGTATCTGAAAAAGTTGTTTCCCATTCTTTGAGAATAGATTGAGTTGTATGAATAACAACAATAAAGGGTACTTATATGAATTATGTTTTGATTGTTTAATATAAATTGTATAATATGCCAAACGTTGTTTTAAATCTAAATTATTCATTATTTGCAAAAATGTACAAGAATTAAATAATTTATCTATCACTAACAATTATAAATTAGGTTTTCTTGCTATATATCATTATATTGTAAGTGGTAACTTATTTTATTTTTCAAATTTTAGTACTAATTGTACAGTATTTACAAAGAAACAATCATATTAATGTATTAATGTATTCAATCTTCAAATAAAAGGTATAATATATATAAAGTCTGTATTAAAGTATGGTATATTAATTATCATTATATATAATTAATATGTTAATATTATGTCTTGTTTTTTGATTTACTTTTGAGCTTTTGACACTTTCTACTGGACCTTTGATTATTTTTTTTCTGTGTTACTTGTTGATTTTGTTCATTGAAATATATAATATATATACATCCCTTTTAAATATACTTTTTTTTCAATGAATACCATTATTATTTAAAATATTAGAATTTTTGTTGTGTTTTGTTGTTAATTTTATCATATTGAACCACTCGAGGTTTTCTATTTTAATAGCACTAGGTATACTAAACCCATGACAAAATAGATAGGTATGTCAGCAACAATACGAGACGTACCACCCTTCTCAACCATAGTCGTAGTTCGCCTCATTTCATTGGCCGTTAAATTACCCGGCCAACATAGAGCGGCGAACCAGCTAATAGACGAGGTGAGGAGTGGTTGGCAAACACGATGCGTATCAAAAAGTTGCTGACATACCTATCTATTTTGTCATGACTAAACCCATCATTAAAGCCTTGATGAAGGTTGGCATTTTAAATTTAAAAATTGTTTCTGTTAATAAATATATATAGAGCATAATATAATAATTTTTAAGATACAAAACTAGAACTTAGGACAGTGTTATATGGTTAGATGTAATAAAATGTATACTTTTAATATTACTATATTATTTTGTTTAAAGGAATCATCAAGCATATATTTTCAACTGTTACCAATTCTTCTACTACTTCTGCTATCATTGTTTTCAAACTTTTCGTATGACCCTGTGTATACTCTAAAACATTCCCCGTAAGTATTTTACGTTTATATTTATCGCAGTTAAACATTAATGTATGGGTATGTAATTTTTGTTTATTAGGAAGTACCCTGTTCTTCGTCGAACATCATTCAGAGACATTTCATATTTCGTGAAAGATAATTTTCATACCGACTATACAGGTGATTTAAGACGTCTAGAGCATACTATTGAAGAAGATTATATAAATACAGTACGAACAAAATGCATACGTGAAAAAGAATACTGTAAGTAACACTTTGTTTATACATTTTAATGTATTCAACTAATTATAATTATATTTGACTATGGTATTTTAGATGAGTCGTTAATGTGGAGAGCACGTTTAGATGATGATTCTACCTTATTCAATAAAGCAACTAAATACCAAATGAAATCTTGTGAGGAGTACCAAACATTGATGAAACAAAAATATAAATAAATTCATGTTCTATAATCTATTATACCACTTAGTTTTGTTTTGTTTTTTTATTTTAATGTAAAGAGTCAATTTAGATGTTTACAGTTCATAAAATATATACACTGTGTAGAATATCACATTTTAGTTAAAATTTTTAAATGATTTTCAATTATAAGTAATATTTCTTTTAATAATTTCATTATTATATATAAATAAATTAGAACATTGTAGTTGGTGTGTCAAGTTAGGTACCTATAAGTTTTTTTAAGGATAAATATAAAATATATGTTTGAAATAGTCATTGTAAAAGACAAAATATTAAAGAATAATTTATTTTAAACTATATAGTGGGTTAAAAATTATGTATGAGGTATTCAGTTTAGCAATTCTTGTTATTATATTAATTTATCTGATTTGACAATTAGTGGACGTAGATCAAAAATATTTGAACCTCGAATACTGAACGGTTAAAACATGACCACTGACCATATAAATATTACTTAAGAATATACAAATTCATACTAATACAAGTATTATGTAACAAATATTATATACATTATCTATTCATAAATAAAATATTGCTTTTGAAATTAGTTAGCTTAAAGTTGTGCGTGATTTGTTGGCTTTTATGTTTCTATATTTATATAATAAATTACTTTATTATCTCATTGTTTTATTGTATTAAGGTTATTTAGAGAATTTTTTTGTTTTAAGATTAATCATTTTTTTGATTATTGTGTTAAATTATTAGTTAAATAATATTTTATACAAAACTTTGGTGTTTAAAAATAAATACATGTTTATTATACCTACGCTTGTATTAAAAATAATAGATAATCATCAATCATAATAATAAAGTATAAATATACAATTATTCACTTGTATAATGTATTCTTTAAGTAAGTGTTATCAAATCAAATTTAACATTTTATAATTAGAAAGCAATTCAATATGCTTCCTACCGGCACAATATTACCTACATCGGAACATTAGTTATTTTCTATGCTACTTTCCTAATGCTTACCTTACACATCATATTTATTAAAAATTATAAAAAAAGTGTTTACTTTATATTGTTGTCGAGTATCAACGAGCAATTGTTTATAATACGCTTTGTCAATAATGTTCTTACATTATTTATTGTCTTCTGGAGAAAAGCTTAAAATTGGTTAGTTGAGCTTACTAATCACCTCAATTCTTCTTTTAACCGCCGATCTCATACGGATTTTGTATTTTGCTCTATGCCATTTGATACCACACTTGGTCTTTAAATGCAGTCGACGTCTTTTATGTTTTGATGTCTGCACCAGAATCAATGTCGACAAATTCATAATGGCCCTAATTAATGATAATTACAATTTCAAGTGTATACACTTGAATATTCATTATAGTCATAACGTATTATTTTAAATCACCACTGGGAATAATTCCATTCTTCACTTTTGACCACCCATCAGAGGTTGGCAAAATACCCGTATCTATTTTTCAGTAACTGCAAATATATTAATTATTTGTATTAAACTATTAAATGTCAATAAAAATTCATAGGAGTCTTCATAAGTTACTAGTTAGGGTAGGTAGTAGGTACCCGAATAAAAAAAAATATATGTACGGGTACCAATACTATAATATTTTACCTTCAAATAATTTTAGCAACATTGAGTGTCTATATGCTTGAAACCGTCTTTCTGGATCAATTAACTTTTTGTTAAACGTTTGTAATATTGTTAATTTATTAAGCACTTACACGTGTTATGCAATTTATCAGTAAATTAAAAATAATTTGAAAGATAGACTCATTTAAAAATTATAAAATGTTTCTAGTCGTTTACTCATTTTTACTAACTATCTGTTCAAAAATTTAAAACCACAAGTGTGTGTACTTACCTAAATATATTGATTTAACATTTTATGATTGTGCTTTGAAGTGTCTTAAGGATCTAAGAACCCGGCTAACACCTACGCTTTCGTTCTGCTGAACGTTTTAAATGTCGTTAATATCAGCAAAATGAACCTTATGAACCTATGTATTACAGGGGCGGACTGGCAGATCGGGAGATCGGGAAATTTCCCGATGGGCCGGTCGAATAATCGAATTATGGGGCCGGACAATTTGGTTGTACAAGTAACTTATTACAATTTTTAGATTATAATAAGAGTTTATCAGTTTTTGGTAAATTTAAAATCTATAGAATATAACATAAATAATACGTTAATACGATAATAATCGTATAATTATTAATTTTGCTTTTCTAAGAAACATACGAAACATAAGGTATTTATATAAATAGAAATTACGCTGCCGACTGCCGGCCGCCGTCCCCGTGTAGTTTATAATATACGATAACGATATATTATTAATTCGATGTATTATTGTTGTTAGTTGTTATATAATTTAAAAATATACCGTTTTCGTCCGGGACTAACAACACTGTCGTCTGTGATATTATATAAAATATAAATATTACTTATTAGTTCATTTGTATTTTGTATTGTCAAGTGGAAAGATTACTTTCGAAGCAATGTTTACGATCATAACCTCAGCTTTTTAAAGGTAAGTCAAATCAATTTTTAAATAATATATTATTATAATTTATTGTAAATAAAGTACAGTTATTGTTATAAGGCCTATACATTTTAATCTATATTCAATTATTATTAAAAATTGGTTAAATGGTTTAAAATATAATAGAATTATTAGTTTTAGAGGCCTATCCGGCTATCCCCTATTAGCTATTTGAATTTTGAATCCCACCGTGTGCTGTTGTTTTGTCGTTTTTAAATTGAATTATTCTTAATTCATATTGTTACGGTTCCCTAAGACCACATATTTTATATTTTTCTACAGTATTTGAATAAAAATGCTGATAAAAACCAAGGCTCTGCATCCAAACGTAATATTTTTAGATTATTATTAACAAATAATAATTATTTAACTCTACCTTTTGTTATTTATGTTATTCAATTATAATGTATGTATTTTATATTATAACTATAATATAAAATATAATTTTATTTACATGATAAATTACTATTGAGTTATATTATATATTGAGGTTCTTCAGTAATAAAAAGAGAAAAACTTTAAAGTTTATATAGAAAATTTCAAATATTTTTTACTCTTAAGTGTTTTATTTAAAATTATGGATAACTAAACATTATAAATAGTAAATGTTCAACATGGTTTTATTTAACACTATAAAAAGTAAAAAGAATTATGATACCTATGTAGCTTTTTAGTGTTTGTACGCCACAGAAGGAAAATATACTTTTGTACTGGTTGACGATTACCGATTAATAATATAAAAGAAATATACGTATGATAGCAAATAGGGTAATAGGGTATTGATGTCCATCAAATTTCTAAAATGTTTTATTTATCTTCTGTTAGTATTAATTATAATTTAAATATTCAACTGAGAAAATGTCTGGTATTTCAAACGTAAGTGCTGCAATAGTGTATTAGATTAGGCCTTAGACAATATTTCAATATAATGCATATATAAGTAGTTCCAGCAGGCGGCAACGCCATCGATGTTGCAAAAAAGACCTTAGACAATGGTTTACGGGCGATGGGCCGCTTGAAAAAAAATTCCCGGGCCGCTCTGAAGGAGCCAGTCCGCCCCTGATGTATTATATTTATTAGGACTCAATAATATAGGTAATATTGTATTTATTTATTTATTTATATTATTAAGACACATAATGATATGACAACAAGCTATTGCCGGAACTTTTTGACGGTCAGATCCTTCGGTAGGCATGTGACTATATGACTATACCTACGTGAAGTGTTCCCAATAATTTTTTTGAGGGTATGCCAAGTCGTCAAATATCAAAACATAAACATTTAAAAGATTTAATACAATACAAATATTTATATTATGAATTAGGAGGTGAAAGACGTGTCAATAATATTAAAAACCATTTTAATCAAACTTTTTTTAAATATACCTATTCTTTATATTTCCTCGGCAGTCGTTAGCTATTTTTTAAAAAATAATTAATACATTGGTAAAAAAAAAACGTTCTGCAGATGTTTAAATACTAGTCCTCAAATCAATTATTATCTGGTTCGTATCTGAAAACCCTCTTTTGCAATGGGCTGTGGAATGTCGGGAGTAGATATATTAATTAATGCTTTTATGAAACTAGAAGAAGTATTTCTTGAACAGAAGTCAAGTCAAGTTAAGTCAAATTCAGATAAACCTATAATTTCCGTGGTACTCTTTTCACGTCCTTTTCTCCCTTGGCGTCACTGGTTTCTGTTTTTAACTCTCCATCAATTACCTAAAAGACATTTCATTTATATTTCACTCATACCGTTTAAATAATTTGCCAAAATTATTACCTATTATTTTTGCAATTTTCATTACCTGAGTTGACTGAATATCTTCTATAGTATTGTGTTATTTCTTGATTCGTCAAATAAGGTAGTATAGCGCTCCACCGCTGCCCCATTCTGTCAACTAAATTTTAAAGATTTTACAATGACGTGTGTTTTTTTTTTATTTTATTTTTTATTTTTTATTTTTGTCTGTGTACACGATAAGTAGTCGAAATAATGCTTTGATTTTCAACTTCAGTATCTTGTTCGATTGGAAAGTGAATATCGTTGGTGCGTTGGGGAGGTCAAAATTTAAAATTCCCAGTAATTTTCAAAAGCGCCAAGAAAACAAAAGAAAAATCAAGGAAAAACGGGAATTTTTACTCAAAATCGATTTTTCACAAAATTGAATTTGGTTTTTGGTGTAACTTTAAAACAAATGACCGTAGATACATGAAATTTTCACTGTTGTTTATATTTGCATTTTCTATACACGATAACATCGACATCTGCATGTTACACATATGGAAGAACTTAGGTAAACCACCTCCGTGATGTAAAAATTGATCAGGAACATAACATATTAATATGTGGCATGTGCTTGCCAATGGTTGTTTTTTAAGTTACCCATTTAGGCTGGTCGAATCTTTTACGCCCTTCTATTAAAAACTGAAATGACACCACTGACTGTAAT